TTTTGTGTTTGTTCAGCTTTTTTTGCCAACTTGCACTTTCATGCCTGATTTTACCATGTAAAAGTAGGAGAGTGGGACACAGGGTAAATACTTTATCTGATGTGACAACGTAAATGATAAACATAGCACATTAAAAAGCATACATAAAGATAGACTAATATTGTAATAATGTATTTCAGAGGACTTATAAATTTTAATTGTATTCTTATTTTTACACAAAGTTCTTTCCTATTTGTATATTTTGCATTGTTATCATAAATCAGTTTTCTGAATGATATGCTGGAAAAAAATTGAGGGGAAATACATAAAAGGGAGAAACATGTGAGTGAATATGGTAGTAGTTATCAAATTAAGTAATGCAATAACTTTCAGATGAGAAAAAGCTTTATCTCTACATATAATAAAAGGAAAAGTCTGTCTGTGTGTGTCTTTCTTTCATGCTGCATGTAAGCTAGTAGACCCAGGGCTATGAAATTTGTTACATAGGTGCATCCAGACAAGAGCCAGTGCGCTTTGAAGTGACTTTTTTTTTTCCTTCAAAATTCGAATGAGTTTTTTTATGTTTTTTATGAAATTGCCCCAAATCCAGAATTCTGTCTAATTATATCAGCAACAATGGCTGCATGCCATTGTTGCTGATATATGGCTGTTGCCATTGTTTCTGATATCATCACTGTTGCCACTCAGAAAAATGAGGGCAAAAATTAGCATTTTAAGAGTTTTTAATTACTTTCCAAAATTAGATGGCTTTGATATGACTAGCAAAAGTTAAATGGCTATGATATGACTGCTGGCACATTTTCTCAGAAGATTTACCTAAAGTATCATTTTATTTTAATGCATCATCATATATTGGGCGTTGTTAAAACGTAATGCTTTTTTGTATATTTTTTCATAATTCTAATGTGTAAAATTCAAAATTTCAGGGGGGAAAAAACTATTCAAACTGTCGAGTAAGAAAATGTGTGAAAAAATTTGACTCATCAGACATGGCATGGAATTATTTTATTGTAGAATTTTTATAAAACTGTTTATGTAGTTATGGTGGTGGTTAAGAAGAAGGATAAAAATTATGTTTTAACAGATGTTTAATACACATCTCATGAAATCAGTTTGCTAAAAATTCAAGATAAATGTGTTTTTTCTGGTTTGCTCTATACATCAGACCTGTGTGCAAGGGGGGGTGGAATTTCAACAAAGGAAAAAAAGTTGGAAGAACTTGCAGAGTCATTGGTCCCTTTTTTATGGTACTTTAATCCTTTGAGGGGTGGTATATAAAATAATTTAAATTGTTAAAATTTTGCATGAACAATAACTTATGGACCCTAAGGACACAAAATTGAGACTTAAAAAAAAAAAATCTAGAGCGAAATCCTAAATTTTGAGAGCCGGTATATATTTTATACCAGCGCCCCTCTAAGACATTTTTTGCCAGGTAGCTGCCAATTGTTAATTTTTGTTTTTTAAATTAATTTTGCGTACTTTTTTATGTGCATCTGTAGAGATGGGTGCTTGAATATAGTTATGTAAGTCTAAAGACAAACCGAAATTTTAAAAATAAAATTTATGTTTTTATGCTCTTTGATGATGCAACCCGGCTGAACATACTTATGTAAAATATGGGTAAAAAGCTTTTGAACTTGATTTAAATTCGATATTATTATTTTATAAAAAAAAATTAGTAAATATGACACTGCATGTGTAAATCGTATCATGCTGCAACTGAACTAGTATAATATTACAAGAAGATATAACAGCTGAAAAATTTTAAAAAAATGAAAAATGATACCCGCATAATATGTATCGCTGTATGTACCGCATATATGTATCGCTGTATGTGCTGTATTGCTTCTAGATGCGATCATATTAAAGGTACTTTTCCTATAGCAAATTGACACCTTCAATTTGTTCATTTTATACATGTGCTAATTTCTATACTACCATATTTGTCTGGTAATTTCTTTTTATGTTGTTTGATACCTTACTATGTGTTGTATATTGTGGGTAAGTTTCATTAAATTCTACATGTAACTTTTTCAGTAATCAGTTGCTACTTCACATATAAAAAGTTCCTTCTGCCAAATTTGTGACTACATACTACATGAATTTCCATTCAACAGTATAGTGATTTCACATGTTAAAATTGCATGTGTCTGGTCTAGCAAATGCATCTTTTTTTAAATGTAAAATACTTTTTGAATATATTTTGAGGTTTCTTTATTTAGTTTTGAAAGATGTTGATACTGATAAATCAAGTGATAAACTGCAATTATAATAAAGTTATAAAAAAAGCAAAGAGTGATATCCACCAGAGTGTAATTAAAAAAACTTGGAAGGTGCTGGTGGAATTTTAAAATACAGTAAACTGAATGAATATTGACTGTCTTGGTAATGGCTGGCTCTTAGGGGGGGGGGGGGGAAGAGAAAAGAAAAAAAAAAAAAACTATGTGATTTTGAGTATAGTTACTAAAACAAAACTAAGATTGCACATTAGTGATGACATATAAACTTTTTTCTGCAAAACCAGCCCTATGTAGCAAATTCATTTCAACAAAATTATGATTCTTCTTTTTTAGAGAAAGCAAAATTAGCCATTGGTGTTAACAATTATATGAAGCCTACTTATAAAGTGTTTTTATATGAAAAGGAACTTTTTTTAACATGTTAATACATTTGTATCTCTAGCATTTAAGAATTAGTAACTGCACTTGCAAATAGTAATTAGATGCTATTTAAAAAATCATTTTCTTCCTGTGAATTTTATTCCTTAAAACTTTTTTTGAAAAACTGAGAAAATTTGCTTGAATTGTGAGTTTGACAGTTAGCACTTCTACCTTGTGCATGCTTCTACTGCTTGACAGCAACTTCTTGGAGCAGGCTGTAAAGTAGATCTGCCTACTAAAAAGCAACATTTTTCAATCGTAATGAAAACAAAGGAGTTAATTCAAGCAAAAAGCAAAAAATAATTATTCAGTATAGAAATACTAATTTTTTTTTTTTTTTTTTTTTAGTCCAAAGGGGCTATGTCCCTGAAAGACTATTGTTTTCATTTTGCATTGAAAACTTTAAAAGGCTGTATCACTTTCCAAATCATTACCACCAAATATTATCGCTCTGTATTATATTTGAAGAAATTAAATAATGAAGAATCTGCATAAATGTATGTATGTTTCTCGCATTGTGGTAAAACAACAGTACCTAAAGACATCCAATTTTGAATGATATAATCCTACTGCGAATATGGGCATCTGAAAGCCCGAATTTGAAATTTGGAATTTGTTTTATTATCAACTTCATGTTTTGTAAAACTTTAATGAATTTTTTTATTAACAAACTCAACTGTGGGAAATTCTAAAGATATGCTTATTTTAAAATTATTTTACAGCATTGCTGTTGAAATGAATTTTATGGTTTAAGTGCAAAGAGCATGATAATAAATAAAGGTAACACAATGTTAAAAAAAACGCCTCTTTAGACAAATTTAAAATCTGTAGCCTTTCAGATTTTTTTTTTTTTTTTTTTTTTTTTTTTTTTTTTAATAGTCCAAAAGGGCTTTTCATTGAAAGGGCTATTTATCTCAAAACGGCATTTTGTGTCGTTTGACTTTCTGCTTTGATTCACTTTTCAAATTGTTGCCACCAAATAAAGATTCTGGATGAATATTTCTCGCAATAAAAAAAAAGTAGTGCCCAAAGCCATCAAATTTTGAATAAGGTAGTCCTCCAATGGAATATGAGCACTTGGAAACCTGAATTTTGAATTTGTTTTATTATCCACTAGCCACTACACGGCCTGCCTTCATCTGGCTTTTAAATGTAATGGAAAAATGCATAAAGAGAACACCAAGTATTAAATTTAAAAACTACACAGAATTTTATCAAAAAAACAACTTTATCAAACAAAACAATTTTATCCAAAAAACATTTTTATCAGAAAAAAATCAATAAAAATGTAGTCTCAGCATTTTTATTAATTACCCTAATAAAAAAATTAACCAACTTTCCATACAATGGGGAATTTTATAGAATTTTTTTCCCTACTGTAAGTACTGTAAAAATCGTAAAAAAACTTATTTTTAAAAGTTTTTCTGCACTGAAATATTGATATTTAAAAAATAAATTTTATGTCAAGAAATCAATTATACCTTCTATAATAAACAGTATTTTTTTTTCTAACTGACAGATATGATAGTTTATTTTTAAAAAAAATATTAAACTTGATCTTCCAAAAAACGAACATTGGCATGTAAAAGGTTAAGATCATGCTTATATTTAATGAGCTAAGATTTACATTTTTTTTTTTTTTTCAGTTATAAGACATGAATATTATGAATAATTTTTATTTAGTGACGCGTTTCTTTTAGCATATTCTTGTAATCAATATCGCTCTTTAATTACCATGATTCATAGCAAAAATATGCATCATTTGAAATCTTTTGCATGTCACCTAGAGAACTACAGAAAAGGGAAAAAAATTAGAAAGGAAATAGAGCGTAATGTAATAAATACAAGCGTTAGTAAAATCTTTAGATTTTACTAGATGGTTTGGTAGGAAATGTTAGATGTAATCTTTATTGAGTTCAAATAAACTATTTGATATGTATTTTTCCAATTATTAAATTTTTTAAAGGATAATATCTTAAAATATATTTGCTTACTAAATTTGAAGGTAAGCACATTAGTTTCTTTCAGTACTTCTAAGAATTTTATTTTGATAAGGTGTAAGAACCATACCACATTGTCTCATTTTTTATAAAATTGCTTTTAATAATATATTTTAAAATGTAAGGCAGTGTGCATTTGAATATTTTACTGAATTAGGGTAGAGATTTATAATGCATCTTCTCCCCAAAATCTGAACTGGAAACTTTGAGTTAAGGAAGTAAAGAAAAGAAAAAAAAAATGGTTGTAATGACAATTTAATGTCAGTTTTACCAAGTATTTTATTTTGAATTATTTCTTTTAAAATAAGTGTTATTAAAATTATATGTAATTTTCCAGGGCCTGATATTGTAATTTGTGATGAAGGACATGTTTTGAAAAATATACAGTCTGCAATATCAAAAGCTACTTCCCAGTTTAACACAAAACGCAGAATAGTTTTAACTGGCACTCCTTTGCAAAATAATTTGCAAGAATGTAAGTTCTGAAAATATTTTCTGTATAAATTCATGCATAAACTGTAGTATAACTGTATATATATGTATGTCTAACTTATTTTTATATATGTCTCTGGAAGGACATCTTTATGTGTTTTGAATTTTGTACATACATAAAGAATTCAGCTGTCAATATGGAAAAAGGATATAATCAAGTTTGAAAGTAAAAAAAATAAAGCCCTTTTTTAGTTCCGTGTATGAAGTAAAAAGGAAGTATTGTAATGACGAAAAACTTGGGGTATCATATTTCAATGAAAATATCCATTTTGACCGTTATCGAATGCAATTTAACGATGTTTTTCCATGACATCAGTATGTAAGGACGGAATAAAGGACTCATCCTCCCCAAAATAATTATAAAATTGATTTTAAATGAATTCTGAAGAGATTTTTCACGGTGTCCGTATGTACGGACATATGTATGTATCTCGCATAACTCAAAAATGAGCCATACAGTACAAAGTCTGTAATTCGGACTCGTCGGGACTTCGGCGATTCCGGATTAAGGGTTTTTCTGCTTTATAGATCATCAATTTAAATCTGGTAATACGGCGTGCAGAAATTATACAATTAAAAACATAAAACCGTAATTTATGAAAAAAAGAGCAATTTTAATCTAAAGGGTATCCAAATTTACAAAAAAAAAAAAAAAAAAAAAAAAAAAACTTAATATTTATTTGTTTACTTATTAAACATTTCTTTCAATGTAAGTTGTTTAAGTTGCTTCATTTTTTGTGCTAAATGCGCATGTGTAAACATTAAACACACATGTGTAACATTAAACTTGCATGCGTCAGTTTGTGGCTTTGAGGTCCAGATTATAGATCATTCCGGATAATGGACATCCGGCCGGATTACAGACTTTGTATTGTATATATGTATCCACTCTGTTACCCGGCTGAGTGGGCTAAGTTTCTTTATTCTCATATGTTTGTAAATTGTGCAGTTTTTGCTTTGAAAATGATTTGAGTTGTGTTGCTCTTATCTTCTGGTTAAGGATTTTATGCCTTTAGTTAACCAGCAAGTAATAACTGTGGAATTATCAACAATTTAAAAGTTTTTTTAAGTGCAGCTTAGCCTAATCTTTAATTACCATTGTAGCCATATTTGTTTACATTTGAAACTTGGCAAAATAGTAGATTTGTTGCCAATCTAGAGAAGCTAAGCTTCACAACAACAAAGATAATGCCTTTTTTTATTATTGTGAATTAAATCATGATTAATCAATTCTGAAATTTATTCAAGGAAATAAGTGCTTAAGATTTACTTCGTAAATTTGAATATAGATATTTTGGGTTTTTATGTATTTTTGCCTTGTCGCGAAGTGAGAACTGAATTAATTGAATGAGAAATACTGGGAATTGTCTGTGAAAAACTTTTTTTTTTACTTCTTTCATACATTGTTTTAGATTTATTATAAGTATTTGAATAGAACATGTAGCAACGATTGGATAATTCTTCAGATGATATAAATGCTGTGCATTCTGAGTTATAAAATGACCTCATACAACTTAATTGTTATCACGAAGCCTTGACTCCCCTTTCCACGGCCGCACTATCTTTGCCTTCGCGTGGGTGCATTCATACCTTGATTTATTTATATATGTAATTGGTCTAAGGCATATGCAAAACGAACTGGTTAAACTCCTAATGTTATTGTGTACCAGTATACCAGAGACTATTAGGATTAGTTATAAAATGAATGAAATGTAATGCTGTTAACACTTTTGCGCACGTTACTCTTTAAAGTTGGAATTTTACCAAAAAAATTTGTAGGCAGTATATTTAGGCCTAGGAGAGTATGCAGGTTTAATTTTATAAAAATTGCACAAACCGCTTCCATTTTGTGGTTGTGTCTGAAGCGAAGACACTGAGCTGCGATGGGTGTGCATTGCTGTGAAGCACGTATTACAGTAAAATACTTTGTCTATGATTTAAAAACAGTAGAATCTGATCTCTGTAGCAGATTTAGCATAACCCAGATTGCTCCACGGGAAGGCCTGCTACTCTACACCCCCCCAAAAAAACCGGGGGGAAAGGAAACTCTCATTGCTTCAGCGATGCTGAGACCTCTTCGAATCATTTACACAATTTAAAAATTTATAAGAAAAATAATTAAAATACTATAATATTTACAATTAATTATTTACTAGAAAAAATAATTATTAAATATATATACAAATAAAAATCTACAGAAATCGAAACTAAGCAAACTATGCACGCACGATGAAAGCAAGAGGAAAAAAGGGTCTGCTCTCGCTGAAAATCAAATAGCTAAGTGAAAACAAAGCACCAGGGTCTTCAAAACCCAAAACAGAATAAAAACAAATATAAATAAATCTGCGCTCTTAGCCTTCCCCGTGTTTGAAACACGAGATCAGTTTCTGTGACTCACTCCCACGTGAAAGGCACTAGCAGTACAGTGTGTTCAGTCTGAACACACCATACACAGAAGGCTTCACTTCTGTGAACAGAAGAACACCATACACAGAAGGCTTCACTCAGAAGGCTTCACTTCTGTCTGGCTTGAAATACGCAATATTTCAAAGATACAGAATAGGCAGATTAGCATACGAACAACAAAATTATATAAAGTTTTTTTTTTCATTGATATTCTTTATATTTTAAAAAAAATCTGAAACATTTCTTTGAAAAATCAGTGTCTTTAAAAATAGAATATATCTCAGCGTTAATAATTTGCTTCTGTTGTACTGCCATCTATTATTCATAAAAGAGATTAAAAATAACCATTAACATAGTTTTCGTGATATTTATCGATTATTTTCAGTGTCTAATGATTGTAAAGAGAGCATTTATTCTGTTGTGATTTATGCGCTGTCGACGAAGTAGATTTAATTCAATCCAATAAGTTTAAAGGAAATGCAAGAAAAAATGTGTATAATTTAATATTCCATACAAGAAAGTCGTGGTGTACACATCAGATTTTTTAGAAATGATCAGAGATTAGGTTGCATCAAAAATTCATAGATTTGTTTTGAATTTTGAAAAAATGAATAGTTGTTTTAAAAGCATATACCTGCCCCATGAGTTCACATTTTTCAGCAGCAATGTCTCCTTTTAAAAAAAAATTCATCAGTAGATGGTACTGTAGCATTTGAAATGTAAGTATGCAAATGATTTACAGTAAAGTAATCTGTCCATCCGTAAAACCTCAAAATTTTGTTGATTTATAGTCACAGACTCTAATGATGAGTTATTTTGGATTTAGTTGATACTACATTTTTTGGTAAAATTATTCTACTTTAGCAGAAAATCAGCTAATTCAGCTTTATAACAGTTTTGTATGCAGAAGCAGATGAAAATATACAGAGGTTCAATGACTGTGATAGTAAAAAAAAAAAAAAAAAAATCCATCTATTTCAAGAAAACATGGGCCCATGGAGGTCATTTAGCAAACCATTATAATCCAAACCATGTACAAACTGTATGGTGGCACGGGTGGATAGTCGGCATATTAGCAATATTCACGATAAAGAGCAAAAACCATACACCCACCTAATTTATCAGTGTTGCAAATCTTCCATAGTATGCTACAGTTTTAGTCTTCTAATTTGAATCAACTTTAACTGATAAATTGTAGAAATTTATAAAGGCATAGGGAAAATGTTGCTGATGATTCCACAATAGATTTTCAACATCCTTTGGATAGATGAAATACATCATTACTATATAATTACTAGTATATAGTGTGGCTGCATGGCTTCATCATCATTGCTGCATTTTTTTAACAATTATTTGCAACTGCTTTGAATAATTATTTGCTTATTAATGACTCAATGCAGCGATATCTAAAAAAAATTTTTTTATATTAGTAATTGAATAAGAAACAGTATGGTAACCTTTTATATTGACATTATGCTTGACTTAAGTTAAATGCACTAAGAAATGTTGACAAGGAAAAATTTAGCAAAAATTTCTTTCTCTATGCTGAAAATAGATTTTGTTAATGATACTCATATGCCAAAAGATTACATTTAATGCAATTTGAATTAAGAATAACTTATTTACATAAACCTAAAACTCGCGCCACAGTTCGTATGCCTGCACTGGGCGGCAGAACTTCCGGAAGCATTGAGGAACAAAATTAAGGGCTGAAAAAATTTTTAGAATTTAGAGAAAACACTGGGACCCAAAATTTGTGGAATTTAGAACTTAATTTTATGAACAAAAATTTAAAACTTAGAGAGGCCGCTTTGTAGCAGAATTTAAGATCCACACGGACTGCATTAGACAATAAGATATCTAGCGCCCAGCCCTCGATAAGCCTTAATTTATTTATTCAGAACCCAGATAAGCTTTAAACACGCGAAGATCTAGACGTAAGTGTAATAAATAACTAATAAAATAGACTTAATAGTCTCAGTGCAATATAGAAGCATGACAAAATTTTGCAGAACAACTTTTCTTTCGTCACCACAATGCATAGCCAGTAGTGTATAATAGGTTCTTTTAAGCTAGACTAAAATTATACTTTACTGATTCCAAAGTTATTTCAGTTAACAAAGCTGATTTCAGTTAACATAGCAAATTGCACTGTTCCTTAATTTTTCTGATTTGATCCAGCTTATTAATTTTTGTAGGCTGTTATTATTGCAGCAATTTTATGAAAACCAAAGTTTGAATTTTTCAGTATGTTGAAAAGAGTTTCTAATTCTAGAGCTGCAACAGGATCTACAAAGCGAAAACATGTTTCAATGTCCACTAAAACAAAAAGTGCAATTGCTGCAACAAATGGATAAACGTATATCTGTCTCAAAATTATGCTATGGAAAGTCAACTGTATACAACTAAGAAAACAGAAGAAGAAATTTTTTGCCTTTTTTCTGGATTCTGACACACCACTGTCAATTAATAACAAAAACATTATGCTAAAAGTGACAATCATGACAAAGTGATGATTTAAATGATGGGTCAGAAAGCTAATGGCCCAAGCCAAAATATTTCATGAACAAATGAATTTAAAAACTGAGTGCAACAAAATTTAAAAATTGGTATGGTAAGGCAACTAAAAATTTCAGGTGAAAATCTTCAGCTGATACTGAAGCTGCTGAAATATTTGTAGATTAATTCATTGAACTCATTAACACTGAAAAATTATCTCCAGAACAAATTTACAATGTTGATGAAACTGGTCTTTTCTGGCAATATGAACCGCAAAATACCTTGGCAACCTCTGCAGAAAAGGCTCCAACTGGTGTCAAAGATTTCAAAGCAAGACTAACAATTTTAGCATGAGTAAACGTTGCACGAATGCACAAGCATAAACTTTTTGTAATTGGGAAAAATACACAACTTTGAGCATTTAAAGGATTAAAGATTTTCCCTGTTATTTATTGTGCAAATAAAAGAGTGTAGATGATACAAGCATTAATGAATAATTGGTTTGAAAATCATTTCATACATGAGGCTCGGCAACATTTGAATTCCATTGGTTTATCTGATAATGCAAAATTGTCCTAATTCTAGACAACTGTTTGGCTC